TTAAATAATTTGCTAAATCGTGCTAATCACACTTTGCCACACTTCACACATTTTCACTCTTATCTACAGTGGCTGGGCTGCATAGTGGGCCTAAGCTTCCTTTCCTTTAATCTTTCTTCAGCCAGGCCTCTTTGCCTGCCTGGTTGTAGCCTCTGTCCTAATCCCCCTCCAGCCAGGCCTTTGTCTGCCTGGTTACAAGGCTCCTTACACTTACAGAGCAACCTAGCCAGAAAGCACAGCAGCAGTATGTACAGCAAACCAAAAGGGAAAGCCAAAAGTGAAACGAAACCAAAACCAGCCACCTGAATGCCCCTCACTCTACATCACCCTGACCACACCCTCGCAGGCCTGGTCAGGCACACCTGTAGCCAGCCCCTAAGCATGCATGGCTACAGCATCCCCTACAATTCCCCTTTTAGTTAAGAGGATTAAAACTTAACAGTGTAAAGTATCCAAAATTAACAATCATAAAGGTGAAATACAAGAAGATACAACAATCTGCTTATTTCGCATCCTAACCATCTATTTTAACTAAACCCTGAAGTCATCTGAAATCCTTCCAATCCCAACCATAAACAATCGGAAGCTATCCCTAACTTGGTATATACACTATCCTAAGTGACAACAATGGGGGAAGGAGGCGTAGCATCCTCCAAGTTACTTCCTGCTGAAATGGGACAAAATCAGCCTTGTGGAGTCCTGTAGGAAGAAAATGTTAGTATAGTGAAAGCCTTGAATGGATTGTATCCAGTCCATGTTAGATGGGATTCGCTTGATTGAAGATCTTGCTTGAAATCCTCAACTTGATTGAAGTCAGTATTCGAAGCTCTGGCTGGAGTGTCAGTTGAAATGGAGCAAGTCGGATCCAGTGCAGTCGAGGAGGTGTGGCCCGTTTTCTTTCCAGGGTGTCCAGGGATTGCTGTCAGGCAGGTCTACATTGGCTGTGTGGAACTCAAACATAAAGAGTTAGCAGAGAAATGTTAGCTTGTGTATGTACACATACTGGGAAAGGCATCCATAGGAGAATAACGATTATGAGAGGGTGTACACCTTGAAAGAAAGAGCCAAGAAAAGACAAAGACAGTCCCCAAATTTTTCTTTTATTCTGTATTACATCAATTGGCTTCTTGATACAATACCAAAAACTCTAAAGCTTAGCTAAACAATGTGCTTGGATTTCAGAGGAGGAAAGCCAAATCCACCTCTAAATCCAGCATTGGTTTAATTGAATAGGGACTAGGAAATAAAGAGAAATATAGTTCTCTGAGAGACAGCTGTAAAGTTTACCTTATGGCACATTCTTTTGTTTGATGGTTATAGCTACCTTCTCTTCTTAAGTATCTACCCATGCAGTGTCCTTTGCCTTCTGAAGATGAATTTTCCTGTGAAGATAAAAGCAAAACACTTCCCTTTCCTTTGGGAGATTTCTATTTAGTTTATAAGATATTCCTTAGTAGAATACCTGTCATTTGTTCTCATCAAGAAGTTTTTCTTTTTCCACTCGAATCTTGATCAACTTTGATGGTATCGAAAATTTTTTTTCTCCTGTGGAAACAAACGCAAAACCTCTACCCCAGCGTAACACATGTCCAGGGTTCCATATCAAGTTCAGCAGTTTTTTTCCATAGTCCAGTGTCTTTCTGCAGCTGTTTGTCCTTTTTCATTGGTATTAAGAAAGTATACTGTTATTAAAGCATTATACAACCTATGATTCTTCGTCACTATTCAAACTACCATCTAGAGCAGTATCATTTTTCACAATAGGCAAAGAAGTATCTATTCGTCCTGTGAGAGACTGTCTTCGACTGCTACTGAGAATGACCAGACCTTTTAAGATGTGGGGGCCTTCTTAAGGACCCCCTCGTGGTTTCCCGGCCTTAACAGGTTTCTTTGCATGTCCCTGTGGATCTACATTCATTGGTCCAGTGTCTGCCCTTACCACATCTTCTACACAATCCAGAAGACAGTGGCCTTCCGTATGAGGCATTGTTAGAATTCATTTGTCTACAATTTCTCTTAGTATGTCCCATTTTACCACAGCTGAAACATCTAGGTTCGGGCACCTTCATGGTCTCCTGGGGAAGGCTCTTCCTACCCAAGGTTCTGGCTCATAATAGTAATAACCTCCAGCCTCTTGGTACCTATGTTGACCTGTGTTAGGTGCTTCTCCTTCCCAAGCCCTTGCGTCCTCACCTCTAGAACTTTCAATCTCCTGTTCCCCTTTTAAACCTTTCAAGATGGCTTCTCCTACCCAAGCTCCAGTATCTTGCACATTATAATAAATGTTGGCTGCATGCAAAACCCATTCTTCTAGTGGAGCTGATCTGATCTTTATAGGCAAAATATTCAGCCCCTAAGCAGGCATGGCTACAACATCCCCTACATCTGTGTTGGTTGCAGCTCAGAGCCGCTGGCGCATGCAGGTGGCTAGCAGTAAATGAGTGCCCAGCTGCGGAATCGATATTGCTGCCAGAGCAGTAAAACCTGCTGGGAGGCCTGTGGAAGATTTAAACTCTCCCAGCCGGGTGGATGGCGGGCAGGGGCTGAGCGCTGGGCAGTAGGTGAGGTGGTAACTCAGTTTTCGCTGGAGGGTCACGTGTGGTGTGTCAGGGCACAAGGCTTTGGGTTTTTGAGCTTGGGCGGGTCGGAGCAATGCAGAAACCTAAAGCGCAGCAGTAACCTAAAGTCCTCTTGAGTCATGCGGCTTCTGGGCTGTGGGGCCTTTCCTGGCCTTTCCGCTCCTCAAGCAAAGGCCCTCCCAGAATGGGGCTTGCACAGAGCATGAGTGGGTCTTGGATTTCAGGTTGGGTGCCAGGTATAGCGAGAGCCTGTAGATGTAAGATATCTTTATTCAGATAAATACCAGCCAAACACAAGCCAGAGTGTGCTCAGGGCAGCAATGCATCAAGGCCCGAGAGAAGGGGCTTCCCATGCTCTCGCTGCCCCTTAAGAGCCCATCCTGCATCATCCTGACCTCACCTTGGCCATGCCTTGACAGGCGTGGTCAGGCACACCTGTAGCCAGCCTCTAACAGGCATGGCTTACTGTCCCCTACACTCAACAACTAAGGCTCAGTTAACATTATAGAAGAAGGTATAAAAAGATTGTAAGAGCCAGAGTACCAGGATATCTACTACAAGATAGCATTTTTTGTATATGGTGTGGACTCTACTTCTGTGAAATCTCAATAGTACAGCCATCTAAATAAGATTAGCACAATGACAACACAGGGAAATCTCACAAGGCCCCATACTTAGCTCAAGAACTAAAGTCAGCCAGGTGGTGGTAGCAAACACCTTTAATCCCAGGACTCAAGAGTCACTGGGCTACAGAGTGAGTTTCAGGACAGCCAGGGCTGTTATACAGAGAAACCCTGTCTCAAAAAAACAAAACAAAGAGCTACAGGCAATCAATGGCTGCTGAGAGAGGAAGATTGAGTCTTCTCCAGGGACAAGCCCACTGATAGGTTCTCTAATCCCAAGAGGTCAGCACTAAACTGAAATACATATGAGAAACATTAAATGGACTCCAAATATTGTATTTAAATGTGTATATATAATTCTAAATATAAAATATATTCTTATGTATAATAATAGCTAATCATTTACCACAAATGTTTAGATGATTTTTAAACGTACACAAGGGCATATCATTTTTACTTATTTTAGTTCTGTCTAGCTAAAGAGATAGAAGCTTTCCATAAGATAGATCCCATGAAAACCAGGTCACAAAGACCTGAACAAAGGCAAAAGCAACAAGCATGCTAACATGGAAGGGGAAATTTCACCAGAGACCTACCGGTAGACAAAGAGCTACAGATAACTAAGGAACACCTAGAGTGGGGAAGTTACCATTCCACAGGGATGAGCCCCCCATTGTTTGGGGCCCTCAAAACATACATGCAAGCAACACTAAATGGAATCATATAGGTGTATTTGTATATTTATTCACATATATGTAAGAACATATGCATAATGATAATAACGAACAAAAAGTGGCCACAAATTTAAGAGGGAACAAAGGGGGATACATAAGAGTGATTGGAGGAAGTAAAGACAATGAGAAAATGATGTAATTTCATGAAAATAAAAATTACTGTCATGGGCCATTGAGAATGGCTTTTAGAGGAAAGAAACAGAAGTTACTGGCAATTCTGTTTTGACCCACAGAACAAAGTGATTTGGGTGCCAAGCCAAGGTGTACATGGAAATTCAAAGTACCACTGAGGAGGATGTGGCTATTTAGTCAAACAACAGTGCTTAGAATAATCCTACTAGTGAGCAACCAGAGGATTGTGTCCATCTCATCCTACTTGGGCACACAGTATTGCTTAGGGCACAAGCTGACTGGAGTATAGGGAAATGCAATCCTTATTAGGATCAATATGAAGACACAATCAACCACAGGAACAGTTAGAAGAAACCAATGCAAGACTGAGATGGGGTGAGATAGAGGACAAGTAAAAGGTAAAAGCAAGGCTAGACCACTATGCCTAAGAGGTTATATATCATCTAGCAATCTATATATCTAGAGGACTCATGCAAATCCCCAAGTTTGTTTTAAGGGCTGGTCCTTGAGCTAAACAGGGAGAGAAGCAGCAACCATCCTCTATTTTGAGGATTGAGAGAGACAAAGGTGCCTGTGCTTCTCAACTCATATAGGACCCATGATAACATACATATCATCAGACAGGACCCTTTTTCTGAGAATTTTCAGCACATCTTTGCATAGGAAAGAGAAGAACTAGGACCTTCCCACCTATCTATCCACTCACCACATATACTTGGCCTGGCATCTCTCTCCAGACTGACTGTGAGTCATCTTAGTGACATCACATGACAAACAAAGAGAATGATGACTTCAACAAATGTCTTCGGAGAATCTAGAACTTCACAGTCACTATTTATTGGGTGGTCCTACTGGACCAAAGATGCTTTGACTTGCTAGGACAGGGACTTGGGGTCTACTGTTCAGAACATTTCTCATGCCTGTTTAGCATCATGGCGACTCAGAGTATAGAGGAGGATTGTGAAACCAATGGAAACCCAGCTGTTGATGAAGAACCTGAAAGCAAGGACATCCCTAATTCTTCACCTGGTTCAGAAGCCCACTCAAGAGAGGGTCTAGTGAGACAAGATGATCAAAATGTGATACAAGACCAGAGCCAACCTGCAGCCAGTGAGGAAGATAACACCAACCTCCTCAGTCTACCCTTCCCCAGGAAGCTCTGGGCCATTGTGCAGAATGATGCATTCAAGTCTGTGAACTGGACTAAGGATGGAGACAGCATACTGATTGAGGTAGACCTTTTCCAGAGAGAGGTCCTCCACCTCAAGGGAGCAAAGAAGATTTTTGAAACAGACAGCTTAAAGAGTTTCATTCGACAGCTCAACTTGTATGGGTTCAGGAAGATAAGCAGTGAGACCTCTGTAGCTTCCTCTGGAGAGAACAAGAAAATAATGGTAATGTGCTTAGTATTTTTTATCCTAATTTTAGTAACAGAATCATACAAAATATCTCCCCAACTCATGTCAGTTCTTCACTTCCAAGAACAAGTATTTTAGAAGGAGATGTTATTCACCTAAAGGGTCAAAATGTAGTCTTTGAATGCAATGACGTTCTTAAATTACACATGGCCCACCTAAAAGTCTTCAGACAAGAATGGCTAAGGAAGACTAGATAATGGTGCATGCACATGCAAGTGTGTGTGTGTGTGTGTGTGTGTGTGTGTGTGTGTGTGTATTACAGTCTTACATATTATTTATCTTTAATGAGATCATGCCACAAGACTTAAGCATCCTTGCTAACTCAAGTTATTTTTTCATCACGAACTAAGATACTGTGACTGGTGGTGGGAAGGGCTATGGGGATCAATGTATGCTTCATCTCAGGATAGCTAAAAGACTCATTTTGTTTCAGATATACCGCAACTTCAACTTTCAAAGAGATAAGCCTGGACTGTTTAAGTATATCTGGGGAAAAGAAGACCTAGGCAATCTTGCCAAACAAGCTACCTGTGTGCCCATTCCACTTAGCCCTTCTCAAGGGCCAATTTCAAAAAAAAAGAAGATGTCACCAACCAGATATTCTCCACGATTCTATTGTAAACCAGAGGAAGATGGTGTAGAGTCCGGGAAGAAGAACTCCAATAACCAGGCACACAAAGGAAATCACAGCTTTGTATTCTCTTCTGTGTGGGCTATGAAAGCTATTCCTGGATATTACCTACAAAATCAGCCCTCTGGGGAGCCCAGTAACACAACTGTGGAAGACACCTCTCACAATATACGTATGCCTCCAACTGCTCCTGGAGTCCAAGGCACAGAAGTACCCAGTGCCAGCTCACCAGGGCACCGCATTTTGCATTCTATGATGTCTCTCTATAATGATTGTTGTTCTGCCATATTTTCTGCCCTCTCACAAAGGCCAATGAATGAATCCCCTATTGAAGAAGAGCAGGAAGGCTCCTCAGATTACAAGCGTGTAATCTGTGAACCCATAAAGAATAATCCTCACTTATGAACTCACTGGCCAATGAATACTAGTAAAAAATGCTTTAAGGTTAAATCAGTTTTTGCTAACAAAAAAGATAATCCAATGATGGCAAATAAATTATATTGGAGTCTGTGTTTTATCTGACCCTCTGTACCATTCTGTACCCTTGGCTTCCCCAAGCTTGGATTCACTTTGTCCTTTCCTGAGAAGCAGTATTATTTTCACACCCTCAGCAAAGCATTCTGACTGGTAGGGTGGAGAACAAGCCTGGGAAGATCTGTTCCCTCCCTTGACACTTGCCTACTAGATACTGGTGTCACCTCACACTACTCAGGTATCTTGAAGCAGGAGATTCCATTGCCCTGGGGCCTGCAACCCCCGCCCCAGCAGATGTTGCCAGGAAGTATATGAGCATGACCTGAAGGTCATGACAAAGTATTCATTAATCATGTATAAGCACACCTTAAACTAGCTGCCTATCTGCAAAGAGATGGACACTACTATGCCCTGGCCCCTGAGATACAGGCCATTCCTCAGTACTTGGTGGGGGGCAGAGGTGACTGTCCATTACATACAGAAGACAAACATTAGAAACTTTGCAAAAGTACCTGAAAAATGCTTCTACAAATTGTCTACCATCCAACCCTTCCATAATCAACCTCAAAAAATCATTGCTAGATTTAGGACTTTTAAGAAAAGAAATGGCTCAGTCCTCCTCTTCTCCTCCTCTGAGACAGGGGAGGAATAGAGGAGGGGAAGAAAGGAGACACCTTGATAGAGGGAGACAGTACAGGTTTGGAGAGAGGTCTGACACAGGGGAAGTGTTAGAGGATCCTCAGGGATGACCCCAACTAAGAATCCAGGCAGTGGTGGAGAGGCTGCCTTTGATGCCCTTCCCCTATAATGAGATTGATGACTCCCTTGGCTACCATTCCTAGAGCCTTCATCCAGTAGCTGATTGAAGCAGAAACAGACACCCACAGCTAAGCACTGAATCACACTCCTGGAATCAATTTGTGGAGAGGGAGGAGGGATAAGCAAAGGAACCAAGACTGTGCTGGAGAAACTCGCAGAAACAGTTGACCTAATCTAGTGAGAGCATAGAGACCCTAGTCATAAAGCTCGGGAAACACCATTGGACCGAACCAAGCCCTCTGAATGTGGGTGCCATCTAGGAGGCCAAGACAGTCTATGGGACCTCTAACAATGGAGCCAGTGTGTATCCCTAGAGTACAAATGGACTTTGGTAGACTAGGGCCACAAACTAGAGGATCGATAGCCCAGAGACCTAGGATAGAACAGAACACAACTGTGTAAATAAATAAATAAATAAATAAATAAATAAATAAATAAGAAATGCCTCAGTGAGACCCACCCTTCCTTGCCTGGGGAAACCTCTCCAGAGAGCTCTTGCACTGTGGAAGGACCTGACATTGTTGGGTTTCTCCATTGATCCTCCTCTCTGTCACAGATTTGCCAGGGCATTGGTGTCAACTCAGTGACTGACCCCAGTCTTGCCACATGGTCCCCTGGATGCTGTTCATGCACTGCCTGGGTTTCCATAGAAACAAAGACCTGGGATAGCACCTACAGGGCTCCAGACACTAAACACTATTTATCTGTGCAATCCAGACAACAGTTACTGTTACTGATAACTAAGCTTCAGCACAAGAGTCATTTTCTGGCTGTTTTCCTTTCCCCTAAAGGCCAAGGTACTTGAGGCTGTTTCAGCAAAGCCAGGGAAGCACAGCAGGAGGAATGCCCTCACTGTCACGCCCTTCATGAGTGCATAGCATTTTGGGTGGTTCAGGGAACAGCCCAGAGTGGGCCATGTTCAGCATGGCAATGGTGGCTCAGTGTTGCTTTGGCTTTAGATTTTGAACTGTGATGGTGAATTGTTGAGTTGCGTGGGCATTACTTTGCTGCCATCTCAGCAGCATTATATCTCTGCTCCAGAGCCCACAGTGGTCACACACTCCTCCCAAAGGGATTGAGCTCTAGAAGCCATTCCAGTCACTCAGTGTCCATGTTGCCTGTTACAGTCATTGTCATTTACACACAATCAGGCACAAAGAGTTCCATTCTATAAAACAGACTCTTTCCTGATATTGACTCTCAGACTACAAATAGGAACAGAGAACTAGAGCGGAGCAGTAACTACTCGAGTCTGAGAAAATGCACCCTGGTCCACCTCCTCTGGTGAGAGTTAGATGGAGTGCTGTTTCAGGAAGGGTCAGCACACATCCTCCAGCTCACACCAAAAAAGAAATGCCAACTTACTGAGCATCATCCTAAGTTCTCTTCTCTAAGTTGTCAGCACCGTGTTCTGCACACCCTCATGGAGCACCTGTCACTACTCAGTCAAATCTGCACTCTTGCCAGGGCAAGGCCTCAATCTCCTTGGGGATTATTCACAGCACATCCTCCTATACCTTTTTCATAGTGTTGCTGTCTTACGAGTACTGTGATTGCTGATGGTACATTTTTGGTAGGTATTCGGCAAAGAACATAAACACAAGTCACAGTTTGATCCATTTTAAGACAAACTCAACATAAAGCTGCTGGTAGGAGAGGCAAACAAACCTTATCTTCCTCAGACCCCCTGGGTCCAAACAGAGAAACACATCACAACCAAGCCCTTTAGTTTCAAAGCCATTTTCCATGTGATCTGAAATTTCACTGTCTCTCTTTGTCACAGGTCCATGGGTAACTGCTTGGTGATAAGTCCAAAGCAAAGGGCTGACATTGAGATAACTGGTGTCTGTCTGTGGAATTTTGGAGGACCTATCAAGATAGGATAGAGATGTTTAAAGTTACCAAGAGGACAATGTGTGGTCAGCCAGTCTTTGGCCATGAACAGCATGGTCTTCCACCTCCAGGCTTCCCAGTCAGGTCTCCAGTACAAGAATGGATGGCTCCCTCACCCAGGGAAGGGAATGTTCAGGGCCATGGATGAGAACATGTGGCCAAGTTCAGGCCACATGGTACCACTGCTTATATGGATTCCTGGGGCAGCCCCCAGTTGACTGGTATTTCCAGGCATAAGCTCCAAAGTTTTTGCGCAAACTCTGACGTCTCTTATACAAGAGGTATAAAGTGACACACAGCCACACGTGTACCTGCACCTACACATAAGTACATATCCACCACACAAATGTATGAAGCCAATACATGCTCAGTCAATCAGGCCCAAATCCACCACTTCTGCATCAAGGACCGGAAAGTCATTTATGTAATCACGCACTAGTCTGCATTGGCCACTAGGAGACACTATTGAATTTGTCAGACTCTGGGAGATCTGATTAATCAGAGCTAGAGCAAGGTCTCTATTCCTGGGCCAGGAAGGGGAGAAAACTGAGAAAAAGAATCAGAGGGTTCAACTGTTCTGGGTGAGGCCAGGCAAGAGTGGGGCTGAGAGTAATGAGACCTTGGTGAAAGGCCTGGAAAAGATGCAGAGGAGAGCTGTGAGCCCTATGTAATGAGCTGGGAAGTGGGGCTATGGAAGGACCTAGGCAGGCCAATGAGTGCTCAGAATGATTGGGGCCCAAAAGAAAAACTAGGCCTGGAAGGTTAGTTGAGTTAAAGTAGAGGTGGAGCTCAGAGCAGTGACATAAGAAGTTGGGGTAGGGCACTGCCTATCGATATTGGTGGGCCAGGAGATAGGACTGGCAAACCTAGGATGTGGGTGGTGGGGCTGAGTGTGCTAAAGCAGATTTGGAATGGCTGAACAAAGAATAGAACTGGGCTATGAGGCAAGAATTGGAGGCACAGCTATGAATCTTGACCTAGGTAGGAAGACACATGGAGTGCCAGACTGGAGTTGGGGCTGTAGTGATGAGGTAGGAGCGGAAGGTAGGGTTGTGAATACTAGCATAGTGGACAAAATCTAGGGAGTATGAGGATGGGATCTAGAAAGTTCAAAAAACCTTGCTTTGAATTCTGTTATAATGTGGAGAAGGACTTCTGGAGGAGTTGGACCTCCTTGCAGAGATTTCTGAGTTAGGCATGAAGGTGTCTGATGGAGGACTTTGGTAGTGCTGTGTGCTGAGCCAGGAGCTGGAAGGAGTTGTCAGGGTTGCCAGATGAGCAAAAGCAAAGGTGTCAGTGCCAAAGTAGAGTGGGCCTGGGAGAAGTGCTGGGCAGAGATGTAGATCTTAAGGTAAAGCATTTGGAGTTAGGCTACAGAAAGAGCAACAGATTTGGAATATTTGAACTAAGGTAGGATTGTGGGTTGTGTTATCATCCAGGCACACCTTGGTCACCCCTTGGGGACCTGGCACCCCTGCGCACATGGCAGGCAGTGCCCTGGCTCTGTATGCAGGTGCAAAGGCTCCTTTAAGAGACAAGCTCCACCTACTCCTGCACTCTCTGCCATTTCTCTGAGGCAGACAGATCTATTTCTCTGTCTCTCTCTTTCTCTCTTCTCTGTCCCCTCTCTCTTCCCTTCCCCATTCCCTTCCCCCCAGTAAAACTTCCTTCCCATGTAAGTTCTGCCAGCATGGGGTATTAATCCCTCACTCACCATGGGATCTGCCAAGATCCCACCTCTCGACATATATCGTAACAGGCTGTCCATGCATGTGGTTATATAAGTTGGGACAGGGCTGTGGGACACATGGCAGGATGGGGGTTTCTTAAATATACTCGAAGAGTCTTGTGGAGTAACTGAGTTGAATTGGAGGAAGGCTTCATAAATGCTAGATTCACAAGGAACTGTTCTTTCTGTTCTAGTGGGATGAATCTGTCATCCTGAAAATGCTCCAGAAAACAAGACATATGGAGGGAAAGGGCAGAATTCAGGTGCATAGGAGACCTCAAAGTCCTCCCCAACAGTGACACACTTCCTAGAACAAGGCCACACCTACTCCAGCAAAGCCACACCTCCTAATAATGCCACTCACAATGAGCTTATGGGGGGGCAAGTATATTCAAAATACCACAGGAATATATTTATGTGTCTACATGTGTGTGGATACATGTATATACAGCATGTATATATATATGTATATATATATATATATATATAT